GCAGGGACATCTTTCGATATATATACATTAATAGAATGAAGTAAGACAGTTATTCCGACATAAGCTCTGGACTGTGACGTCATATAACCAAAACAGTACCTGTGCAAGATGCGCAGCCGTGCACAAAGCGATTGTGAGTCAGTAAGTGTAAAAGTGAGTGAGTAAGTATGGTTTTACGCCGCCTTTAGCCATATTCCAGCAACATCACGGCGGGGGACACCGGAAATGGGCTTCACACATTGTACCCATGTCGGAAATCGAACCCGGGTCTTCGGCGTGTCGAGCGGACGCTTTAACCACTAGGCTACCCGACCGCCCCAGTAAGTTTATAAGAAACGTCACATATGATTCAGCATGGCGATATGGAAGCGGGTGTTGTGGTAACACGTCATAAGGCTTTGTTGGACAAGTGGAGATAGAGTCGTCGTACTGCTAAGGTCTATTTGTGCATGTGGTCCCCTGTGTGTACGATCCAACAGAACATCAGGTTATATGCTTAAGCGGCATTTCAGAAGTTGTTGGGACGAGAGAGTTGACATGAATTAAAAGTTAAAATCTTAAAGTCTTCAACTCTGTAACTTTTTATTTCCAAGGTAAACACGCCATTTCCTTTGGGGCATGTTCCCTTATTTCTTTACGTCAGTATATGGACCCGTGAAGATCCGGGGTAGAATAGGTCTTTAGCAACCCATGCTTGCCGTAAAAGTCGACGATGCTTGTCGTAAAAGGCGACGAACGGGATCGGCTGGTCAGGCTCGCTGACTTTGTTGATACATGTCATCGATCCTAAATGCGTGGATCGATGCTCATGATATTAATAACTGGATTGTCTGTTCCAGACTCGATTATTTACAGACCGCCATCATATAGCTGGAATATTGCTGAGTGCGGCGTTAAAGAACAAACAAACAAACAAACGAACGTCAGTATATGAAAAAGTCTGGATCATTTAACAGCAGACACTGATCTGTTTCGTGATGAGCGTGACAGTAATTCGTAAAGTTGTGCGCGGGTTCGAGGGCTATATTATATCAAACGTCTTTCCTGCACCTGATCTTTTCCTTTGGGAGTAATGTCATGGCTGAATATTCATCCCGGATAGAACCTGATCATGAGTAGCAATGAGAGATTGTGTATGGTTGGTGAAGGTTGGTGTGTGAGAGTGCTTGTGAGTGCGTGAATGTTGTATGAGGCTGCAATCGGCAATGTTAAAGCAATATGACCAGTCAATCATTAACTTTGTCCCGTTAACCAGTGATTGATATAATGAGCAGCGACCCACACCGTCGGGGGCGATGGGGTAGCCTCGTGGTTAAAGCGTTCGCTCGTCACGAAGACCCGGGTTCGATTCCCCACATGGGTAGAATGTATAAAGCCCATATCTGGTGTCCCCCGTCGTGGTATTGCTGGAATATTGCTAAAAGCGGCGTAAAACCATACTCACCCACTCTCCCCACACCGTCGGGGAATTTGGACACACAAACAACCGAGCCTGACCACCCGATCCACAAAGTTACCTTTACGATTGTTGACTGATTGTTTCGTGAGGAGGTGTTTGTGAGCGACTTGTTGAGTGATTGTCAGTGACTGTTGGGACCCGTAAATATCCGGGGTAGAATAGGTCTTCAGCAACACATGCTTGTCGTTACAAGCGACTAGGCTTGTCATAAGAGGCGACTAACGGGATAGGGTGGTCAAGCTCGTTGACTTGGTTGATGCATGTCATCGTATCCCAATTACGCGCATCGATGTTCATGATGTCAATCATTGGATTGTCTGGTCGAGACTCGATTATTTACAGACCGCCGTCATATAGCTGGAAACAGACAGTGACTGTTGGTGAGTGACTGTTTTGGAATGACTTAGAGAGTGATTGTTTGTGTGGGATTGTGAGTGGCTGTTTGTGGGATTGTGAGTGGCTGTGTGTGTGTGGGGGGGGGGGGGGGGGGGGGGGGTGAAGAACCACCCATGCGGTCAGGAAGACATTTGTTGTTATGGAATATATTTTTGTTTGACTGGTGGTAGTGATTTGACACTAAACATTGTATTCCTCGGGATTGAATGAAATAGCGGTTAAGGTGAAGTTTGTCTGTGAAGTAAGATTGTTCTCGCCATGGTCAACGTCAGCTAAGTAGTTTGTTATGGTTTGTAACAACCAAAACACATTTTTTAAAATGCAGACATGGCTCCATGTTTTTTTTCATTCGTAAATATAACCAGATATTGTACATATCTGTACCTCATGTTTTGGCCAGCGCCAATCTTGCTGCCCTAACCATCAGAAGAACCTTCGAATTCTTTAAACAAGGCGAGACAAGGGTTGAGTGGGGTTTAAGGTCGCGTTAAGTATCACTGCACTTACGTGGCGACGGGTGTGCGTTCATGTGTGTGTGTGGTAGAGGGGAGGGGTAGTGTACGTGCGTCTCTGTGGCTGCTTGGACTAGTCCGGACTTATGTCGTTCTTATAGTGCTAGCCCACGGAGATGCCACGCCGCCGTCGTACATGATTGAACCACCGACCTTCCACTCTCTGGGCAGACTCTCTATCGGTCTCCTCCCATTAGCTACGAGTCCCATTTGTCACACGCCTTAAACAAAATAGGTCATGACTGAAGCCACAGGCTGATCTACCCTATGTTACCTAACTATTAGAATGGAGTGATCCAAGAAAAGTAGAAAAGTAATTTTGTACTTTATGTACTTAACACGTCCTATTTTAATTCTCGAAATCCATTTGTCAAGAAACTCTCCATGCTGTGGACATTTTCGGTCAAAGGTTATTCCAAAATTCAACATGCTGTTATCATGGGTACATACTAAGGAAGAAAATATGAAAAGAAAAGTTTCGTAAACTCAAAATTTAAAAAAATTAAACTACATTTATGTCGCCCATGGGCGAAGAGTGGTCCATGGATATGTTCCTTTGCTCAAAACTCATGTTCATGAAATATATAAAGGTGTTTCTACAAGTATCATGACAAATAATTCAACTCATTTTTACTTAATCTAACCGATTTGTGGTGTTAATAAAATATTTCGCCCATGGGTTTGTTTTGCAAATGCATAAAGGTGTTTCTAAAAGTATCATGACACATAATTCAACTCATGTTAACCTACTCCAACTTATTTCGTTAAATATGCAAAACAAAGAAGGCTGCCACAGATTGCCTCCATTAGATTGTTGCGGTTCAAAAATACGCCCAAGCATCATTTGCCAGTTTTGACTTTTAATTCTGAATCAACATGTCTTTGCATATTGGCGTTTTGAGATAGGCCGCTTGCATGCTATGAAGTCTCGCGAGACAATTGTGATCGAAGCGAAACTCGCACAGGAAATACATAGTTGTGAAGTGCCGGTCGACAGAGTTATAGTCCGTCAACCATCATTTTGGCAACCGATTTTTCACTATTATTTTCCATTTGGCACACAATCACGCAACGAATAATAATTATGGACCTAACGAAAAATACAATTGGTGTTATATCTTATGTCCGAATAAAAATATTTTCTTCAGTATCATTTTGTAAGTTTGTGACGGTTGACATGAAGTGGAGTGGAGCATGCATAACCCTAGGTCATATCCAGCCCGACGATAAGGGAATATCTCAAAGACATGTAGGGGCGGTCGGGTAGCCTAGTGGTTAAAGCGTTCGCTCGTCACGCCGAAGACCCGGGTTCGAATCCCGACATGGGTACAATGTGCGAAGCCCATTTCTGGTGTCCCCCGCCGTGATATTGCTGGAATATTGCTAAAAGCGGCGTAAAACCATACTCTCTCACTCACTCAAAGACATGTAAATAAATTTCTGAAATGAAATATGATTTGAAAAACCTCCCTATATGAAAAATAAATACTATCGTTGAATTCTTGATTAAAACACCTTCCGAGCAGCTGAAAGTCGGGATATTACACCAGAGGTGCAGTCGTCGGAGAATCAGTCATCGTAGACTTTATTTCAATTACGATATGTGGAATGACAAATCTCAATACCCACTTGTAAAAATCTTCACCTTTTCCATCTTCTTGGGATTTGGGATGCCCCCTTTGGTTCGTCATCTGCAGGTTTTAAATGCTCACCAGGAGAGATAATTCGGAATAAGGATATTAGCAATGTTCTCGTTATGAAACAACAAGAGATATAATGGATGTTTCTCTTTTCGATTCACCTTTAAAAAAACAATCCACCTTACGAATAATATCACGTCATCCTTTGACAACACATAGCCACGTTACGTTACACAAGATTTCTCGCGTTATACCGATACTGCTAGTACAACCAGAGGTATAGTACCTTGGGTCACGCATCCAGCAAGCAAGTTTGACACGCATTATGTCCTGGTTGTGAGACGTTAAATCTAACTGGCATTAGGGGGAGTCACTGATTATTATTGGCTAATAACCAACATTCGTCGTCTGAGGCGCCCACCTACTCACCCACTCACTTACTCACTCACTCATCCACCAACTCACTCACTCACTCACCTACACAACCTCCTTTACATTAAATGTCTTCCCATGGGTTACTGCTACTCGTCGCCTCCAGGAAACCATATCTACTTTGACTTTGGGGGCAGTCGTCTAATGCGCCGCGATTCGCTGTGCAGAGTTGCGTCCCTATGATTGTGGGATCGAATCCCAGTTCACCCCGATTACGTTTCTGGGTTTATTAACAACATACCCGTGCTTGTGCGTTTAACCGAAGTGGTAAACGTCTGAGACCTGCATCACTTCGGGCTTTCCTCTCACATTAAGCTGACACGCCGTGCTATCACTGTAATACTGTTTAAAGCGGCGTTAAACCCAACTCACTCACACCACGATGGAGGTTTCATTCGTTACCGCTCGTTTCTTTCCGGGACAAACCAAGTGTCTTCTTGTGAGGTATGGACAGATACGAATGGTGACGAATGGATCCGGAATTACACGATGATCCGCGAATGTCCTTGATTTTCTTTGATTGAAATAATCAGTCGTACATTAACATTCTTTCTGTTCCAGGATGTCCCGGCCGTTCATTGTGGTTCTACTGTTCCTGCAGCTAATGTTCCTCCGCAGCGGGTCCGCCAGACCGTCCGCCTGCGCTGACAAAGAAACGGACATGAAGTGCTATTACTGCAGCTCCCATTACGACAAGCCGAAGATATACGAGGAGTGTTGCGTGGACAAAGAGCTCCGAACACACTGCTTCGAGCATATATGGATCGAACCAAAGAGGGACCGTCACTGGTGACACTGACGCTGAAAATTGGTTCATGAAATAAGATTCAAAAATTATTTTTTTTCTTTAAGGACTGTGTTCAAATGAAAGCCAGCTTAACAGTGAGAAACAATTCGATTGAATTTCTGGATTGAAAACAATGAACTTATTCCTTTCGTCACCGCTCGGCCCTTGCCGTAACATTCATTCGACTTGACCCGGAGTGCCGCGATGGGTTACGAATGAACTTTTCAACATTAAACACACGTGGATGTTTGTTCAATGACAGGAAACAAGCAGTGAATGTGTGCAAAGGCGTGGTTGACCAAAAAAACAATCTACAAATTCTACATGTTACCCGTGAACTTTGACCCTCAACTTTGACCCGAACAGTTCTTTCTTGATGACCTTGAATTTTTTGTGACTTGATTGTTTCAACTTCATTAATTATATAATGTTTTCGTGCTCTCTGCCGCTACACAAAGATGTGAGGACATTACAGGTCAAGTCAGAACGCTCTTTCATCCGACCAATCAGATCGTCACTTACGAGATCGTAAGAGTCCGAATGTGTTTTCTAATTATGCAACTTCGTAAAGGTAAACGCGGAGCATTCCGAAAGACACTTATGGTCTGTACGACTGATTCGATAGGATAAACGTTTGAAACAGAAGAGATCTAGACTTTCCATAGCCCTGAAAAGTTCATCTGTAAGACATTCCAGAATGTTCTTTTGTTGACTTTTAAAATTTTGAATCGAGACGTTTGCAAAAATATTTTTCATAGCGTAGTCTGGAAAGGAGGTAGTAGAGCTGCTCTCTGATTGGCTGATGTCGACCATCTTTAGATTTGTCGGTCAAAGTTCGCGAAAGTCGTTCTGATGTGACCCGTAAAGGGGTGTCCTGAGATCTTCGCGAAGCAGGGGCGAGCACTAAGATCTGATTATGATGAGATTGGGATTGTTTCTTTTGTCAATTCCACATTTGTCTGTCGTAGACATCATCTGCCATTATCTAAATAAATTTTTTGTATACTGAATTATGAGACTTATATTAAAAACCTATTCGTGGCTTGTTTACATACACATATACTTGGCTTTGCCTCAATAACAGTAATGCAGAAATCGTCGTGTATTATTATCTTTAAGTATAGGTGAATGTGGTCTCTCTCTCTCTCTCTCTCTCTAGATCCTTAATTTAATTTATTTCACAGTTGTTTCCGCATTTTATGTCCCGAACATTTTGCCAGCCAGTGTAGGCAGGTGTGTGTAAGAAACTATCCTGTATCTGATAGTAAAAGGGGGCGGTCGAGTAGCCTAGTGGTTAAAGAGTTCAATCATCACGCCGAAGGCCCGGGTTCGATTCCCCACATGGGTACAATGTGTGAAGCCCATTACTGGTGTCCCCGACAAGATATTGCTAAAATATTGTTACGAGCGGCGTAAAACCATACTCATTCACTGTGAAAACCATTGTCATAACAACTGAAAGCGGTCTTGGAACGTAAAATGATGAAGAACTAATACTCCTTTTGTTGTGGCCTAATCCAGATCCTCGTTATACAGCGACGCTGAGCATTGTACGCATCAAGATATTGTATTGTTGTTTGGCATCAGCAATCAAGTTAATTTAATTCCGATGAAATTATCTATATCGAAATAAATTTGTTTTGATTTATACAAATTCGTTATCCTTTTTTACCATGAAACGTTAGCATGCTCGTGGTAGCATTATATGTTATGATAAGGGGACAGTCGTTCAAGGCGTCGCAATACACTGTGCAGAGTTACGTCCCTTAGGCGCTTCAAAAACCTTCGACCCGACTATGTTTTACATTTTCCAGCAGCATATCACTGGTTTCACCAAAGTTGTAAAAGCCTATGGCCTGCATCACCTACCCCTACATCAAGCTGTCTCGCCCTTGTATAAATGAAGAACTGTTGAAAACGGTGTTAAACCAAACTCCCTTTTACGACCAACGTGGGTCCAGTGGTGTAAGGCGCTGTAATCCAATACGCACAGTTGGTCACGCCAAGATTTGGTTCCTTGGCTTGAGTACACAGGTTTGTTGATTTGTTTGTTTGTTTGTTTGTTTGTTTGTTTGTTTTGTTTCGTTCGTTCGTTCGTTCGTTTGTTTGTTGTTTAACGCCATACTCGGGAATATTCCTGCTATATGACGGCGGTCTGTTAATAATCGAGTCTGGACAAAACAATGAAGTGATTGACATCATGAGCATCGATGCACGCAATTGGGATACGATGACATGCATCAACCAAGGTCAGCGAGCCTGATCATCCGATCCCTTTAGTCGCCTCTTATGACAAGCATGTGTTGCTGAGGACAAATTTTAACCCGGATGTTCACGATCGCGTACTCAGGTCACAAATTAGGCGGAGTTAAGCTGGTCGCGGGATGGATGACCGTGTTCAGTTACTTGCCTCCAGAGCGGGTGCACCTTTAGAATACAGTACCACAACTTCTCGTGAGGACGATCTCTGCCGAAGGTCTCGTGTCTCAAAGACAAGCAACCAGTTTCTGTGAGAATCCGTCGGCCCCGACAGCTAACCAACTGAGCTGCGTCCACTGTTAGCGCAATTTTACCTCGTCATGCCTGAGACGTTACGGAACTTAACGGAAAGGGTCGAATATGTGACGGAGACTTACGAAGGTTACGGGTAGGCATGGTGTCTCGTGACTTTAGTCGACGGACACTCATGGGGGATCCCAATGCCATTTGGCCCATTCGTCCCATTCCGTAATCTACAAGATCCCGAGTGGTTAGGGATATGGCGATATGGCGCGAGCGGCTCCAGGCGTCAGACGGTGAATTCACGAGTACGCGTGAATGGCAGGGGTTTAATAACTAGTTGGGTTATTTTATAACCTCTGTTCACCAAGCAGTGAATGGGTACCCGGTAGGATGTAACTGTCAACCTTCTCCTGCCTCATAAGCAGCTTGGGTTGTATGATCCCAAAGCAACTGAAAACGAATTTTGTTTGCTACCAGTTATATGTGATTATGTAATTTCATATTTTCTTGAAACCCAACCGGAATGGGAAATGCGTTTATATAAGTGAGTGAGTGAGTTTTGTTTTATGCCGCTTTTAGCAATATTCCAGCAATATAACGGCGGAGAACTCCAGAAATGGGCTTCACACATTGTACCAATGTCGGGAATCGAACCCGGGTCTTCGGCGTGACGAGTGAACACTTTAACCAATGGGCTACCCGACTGTCCCCGTTAACATGAAACATATATTGAAGGTGCTAGTTCAACTCGTGTTCCAGTTCTCTCCAGAAACTATTAATAACATTACATTCAATATAAGCATGAAATAAACATTTACTTGAAGATTTTTAAAAACAGTAAATAATATCATCAACAAGTTTCATTTCACGCAATTGGTTGTTTTTGGGGTTGTTTTTTTTGTTTTGTAAAAATAACGTATTAACTTATACTGACATTCAATTAATTTGGTGTCTCTTGTATATTTTCTTTATTGATTAAATCCATCAAGATCCTTCCAGATCAAACAGATTTGCCAGAGGCAAACGCGTGGTACATTACCAGTTTTGATTAAAATATCATAAAATTGTCAACCGCCTTCACTTTGATTTCATGTTACAATATAGAGGCTCAAAGGGTGGGCGTGTTTTTAACCTTGTCCTCCACAATGGCAGCATACTCTTGAACATCTTTTGTAACATAATAATGTATCATTAATATCATAGTTTTCCTTAAACTCCTTGAAATAGATTAAACCATTTTCGTTACATATACATTATATGTCTTTAATTTGATTTATTTTCTTCTTTATCCAACTTCCTACCACAAAGTCAAAATGTATAAAGTGTATATTAAACCATAGTTCATAAATGTCTTTCCAAAATGGATTATCGATTTAATAAGGAACATTAATACCACATTATGGTGTTCATTTTATAAGATATATTCGTAATATAAATGGTATTCTAAATTTTGAAGATTTGAAGAGCAGATACAATATAAAAGGAACAGTTTTGGACTATGAAAAACTGTTAAACGATATTCCTAAAGCTTGGAGAACTGTCATTACAAACAGATCATAAAAAATTAAGTCAACTTAGCATCAACATCGACAATCTCTCAGTTAACATGGGATCCGGGATCTTTCAGGACAAAATAATCAAGAGTGACATAAGTATTAAAGTCTTAAATACTTGAATGGTATTTTAATTTTCACTTTCATAATAATTGGAAAGATGCTTTTTCATACTACAAAAACATTACCGAGGACTGAGGGCTGTGGATTTTCAATATAGATTTATTGATCGAACAATCTACACAAAGAAAGTATTTCTTGTGATAAACTGATGGTGATATTTGTAGATTCTGTAAATGCTGTGGAGAAGATTTATCACATATTTAATATGAATGTGAACACGCCAAAGACTGCTGGAACAGGTTTAAATATTTATCAGCATTAATCTAAATAATAAACTTAAATTCACAAAATATACTGTCTGTCATGTTTGGATTTCGTACATACATGTACAAGCATGTAGTTAACCATTATTCTTCTCTCAGCAAGAAGATTAATTTATTTATCAAGTATTAATCAGCAAAAAAACGTCCTTTGATGTAGCCATTAAAAGACTGAGTGATATTTGTCAAATTGAAAACATACTGCAAACAAAAACAACAGAATGCATTGTTGTCATAAGAAATGGAAGTAGCTGACTTCTACTCTGTCCATAGTCATGAAGCGTTCATAAAATATTTTATCGCCGTTTAAGACTACATTAAACATTGTCAACTTCAAACAGGCCTTCCATCAATAGTCTTTTATTACGTCTTCTACCTTGATAGCGAGTGTACTTGCCCACTCTATATATTTGTTAACATGTGCGTGGAAATGAAAAAATGTGTGTGATTGTTGAACAAATAAACAAAATTAGGAAAACTGAGTTTCACAAGCACAGTCTTCATCAGTTTCCACACAAGCAGTGTCCCTGTGTTTCACAAGCACTGTCTTCATCAGTTTCCACACAAGCAGTGTCACTGAGTTTCACAAGCACTGTCTTCATCAGTTTCCACACAAGCAGTATCACTGAGTTTCACAACCACTGTCTTCATCAGTTTCCACACAAGCAGTGTCACTGAGTTTCACAAGCACTGTCTTCATCAGTTTCCACACAAGCAGTGTCACTGAGTTTCACAAGCACTGTCTTCTTCAGTTTCCACACAAGCAGTGTCACTGAGTTTCACAAGCACTGTCTTCATCAGTTTCCCCACAAGCAGTGTCACTGAGTTTCACAAGCACTGTCTTCATCAGTTTCCACACAAGCAGTGTCACTGAGGTGTCCCAGCCTTTTCGTCGTGCTCTACATGTACATATGCTGTATTACGAAGCCGCTGCTTGCTGGCCCCAAACAAATAATTTAAAAGAACACGCTGCTAATTGTTCAGGCTAAAAGCTCCATCATCAGGACACATCTAGAACATGAACCACAAGCAACTGATACGGATAAGGGGCGACTTGCACAGAGAAGAGTGAGACACAGACAAACAAAAAGATTTCTTAAACATATGTGCTGCGTGCGTGTATGTGCGGATGTGGGTGCGAAGAAGCGCAAAAGTGTGGATAGATGGTCGGGGTGATAGATGGATAGATAGATGTGCCGGTGTGTTGATGGATGGATGGATGTGTCGTTGTGTAGATGGATGTGTCGCTGTGTTGATGGATGTGTCGCTGTGTTGATGGATGGATGAACCAGTGTGTGGATGTGTGGATTGATGTGCCGCTGTGTAGATGGATGTGACGGTGTGTGGATGGATGGATTGATGTGCCGGTGTGTAGATGGATGTGTCGGTGTGTTGATGGATTGATGTGTCAGTGTGTGAATGGATGGATGGATGTGTCAGTGTGTGGATGGATGTGTCGTTGTGTAGACGGATTTGTCGCTGTGTAGATGGGTGTGTCTGTGTATGGGTGGATGGATGTGTCGGTGTGTGGATGGATGTGTCGCTGTGTAGATGGATGTGTCGCTGTGTAGATGGATGTGTCTGTGTATGGGTGGATGGATGTTTCGGAGTGTGGATGGATGTGTCAGTGTGTGGATGGATGTGTCGCTGTGTAGATGGATGTGTCGGTGTGTAGATGGGTGTGTCTGTGTATGGGTGGATGGATGTGTCGGTGTGGAGGTGGATGTGTCGGTGTGTGGATGGATGTGTCGCTGTGTAGATGGATGTGTCGGTGTGTGGATGGATGTGTCGGTGTGTAGATGGATGTGTCGCTGTGTAGATGGATGTGTCGGTGTGTGGATGGATGTGTCGGTGTGTAGATGGATGTGTCGGTGTTTGGATGGATGTGTCGCTGTGTAGATGGATGTGTCGGAGTGTGGATTTAGTGTCGCTGTGTAGATGGATGTGTCGTTGTGTAGATGGATGTGTCGGTGTGTGAATGGATGGATGTGTCGGTGTGTTGATGGATGTGTCGGTGTGTGGATGGATGTGTCAGTGTGTGGATGGATGTGTCGGTACGTTGATGGATGTGTCGGTGTGTTGATGGATGTGTCAGTGTGTGGATGGATGTGTCGGTGTGTGGATGGAAGTGTCGGTGTGTAGATGGATGTGTCGATGTGTGGATGGATGTGTCGGTGTGTGGATGGATGTGTCGGTGTGTGGAATTATGA